GGGGGAGGCAAAAATACACTATTTATAGTTCTTATTTTAAATAGTTGTTTTATTAGAAAAAAAAGTTTACATTATAGGTAAGCACCATAATTATATAAATAAATATCATTACAAATATTAATATGCCCAATAATATATTATACTAAAAATAGTAGGTATCTAACTATATTTATAGAAGTATTATGAAAAAAATCAAAGCAATTAAAATGTTTCTAAAATATGGCACAAATGAACAATATTTTATATWACTTAATACAAAGAACTATAAATTGTAAATAATTGATAATAAATAAAATTTGAAGTATAAAAGTATATATCAACTTGCACTTATAAATTAATTTATAATATATTTATTAGTTAAGGTTTTAGACCATAGTATTAAACATGATAAGGAAATTAGAACAATTCAGTTCTAAATTTAATATTTGGAATGAAATGTTCAGCTGATAGTACCTGAGATTTCGGCTCTTTTACAAGATACTATTTAATATCTATTTCTTTCTTATCTTATTTTGGAGACTTTACCAACAACTACAAAAATAAATTTTTTTTGGAACGGTAACGTCCCTAAAGATTGGGCCACTGATCAAGTATAATGACTTAAGCTTAAAATAGTTGAAAATATTTCATGTGAATATAAATAACTTAAAGAACACATGAATTATTTTTTTATATATTTTACACCTAAATATAAATATGTAAAAATAAATAAATATAAAATGGTAAGCAACGTTTAATTGTCAAACCTCAGACATGATTTTTTAGATAAGATATTTTTAAATTTGTATACTTATAAAATTGTGATAGCTTATTACTGTAGACACCAAATATTGTGATAGGTGTGATCTTTCTTTAGGTGAATGGGTTGCAGTTATTAACTATTATAGCACTTACTATTACTATACTATTATTTATTTAGTATTTACATCATATTTTTCTCATATCTCAAACAAATTAAACTTATAGGCGTAACTTATTATTATTATTACATATCTACCTAATTTTTATATTGCATGATTTAAATCTATTAGTATATTACATCTATCATATTATTATATAGTACATACCAATTCTCCAGAACAGTTATGAGAGGTGGCACCTTTGAAGTATCAATGTTAGTGATACAATCAGCAAATTTAACTGAAGCACTCAAAACCTCAAAACCCCCTTGTTTTGAAAATCCAACATGTGACACGGTTTCCAGGCGATTAACTAAATCTTTGTCCAAAGCAGTACTTTTTTCTACAATACTACCAAGCCACTTGACAACTTTCGGAGTACAGTGGCGCAAATTTTTCTTCTGGAATGTTGTTGATAATATTTTGGACATGATTTAATAACTATTAGTGTAATAAGGGACCATGAGTTTATCGGGTAATGGGTATAGAGAATCGAACCGTATTACGTTTATAACAATTTATATTATAATCAGTTACAAATTGCAATACAAGCGCTCAACATTAACAATACTCGTGTTCTATGATAATACTATTTAACCTCGACATGTCTCATGGTAACTACTAACCACTAACCAGACTTGATACCATATATCTGTGGTATAACCATAGACCTTATACCGTATAAGGTCTATGGGTATAACAATGATTGTGTTTATTTCATATTATGGTTCATGCCATGGGTCTATATTGGGTCTATGGTTATTTGAGTTATTTCTTATTTCACATTTTTACTCACCATGTAGAGAAGATCTTATATAATAATGTTTCTTCTCTACATCGTGCAATACGCAAGGTGTGTGTRTAGACTGTAGACCACCTAAGGTTTTGCATAATTAAAAACAACATAAATATTAAATACCTAATTATCTTATCACATCATGATTCGCGATTGATAACATTGCCATGGCGCTAACGTCTGTAACGAGCCTAGCAGGTGCCGTGGCGACAAACCGGTGGATTTGAAATGTTTGATCAAACATCAAAACCATATTGTTATTGTTTATTGCAAATTATTTATTATCCAGCGTTTGAGTAATCATTWTTTTTACATCGATTGCCTTAGTACGTGAATTCCGATTGTTAAGCAATGGGTGATCACACCGTCATGTGTGACAAAAGTTTCAAACTCCTACAGAGTGAAAACAGAAAGGTCCGGAAACAAAACTTGGACCAATTAAAGAAAGTYGCGAGTGACKAAAAATTTGAGGTAACCCCGGATTTCATGATGGCTGTAAATACATTCGTGTACCCGTGCTTGAATGATGGATCAGAAGCATGTCGTGAATCGGCCATACAATTAGTCCGAACTCTGGTGTGCGCTGGGTGTGTCAAAGACATCGCACCGATTGTCTTTGTAATACATAAGCGTATGGGCAATGTGTCAATGTTAGAAAGTTCAGAAGAAGTGAAACTTCTATATGTGCAGTTGCTCAGAGATATCATTAAAAATTACGAAGAATTAATTTTTCCATGTTTGGATGACATTATTAGCATTTTGTCAAAAAGCATATTGGACTCATGTCCTACAGTTAAAAAAGATAGTTGCCTGTGTGCAGCAGAACTAGCCAGTGCTACAAAAACACATTTTCATATGGTGGCTGATTTACTTGTTGAACCTCTTTTAAAAGCAACAAATTATCATCAATCGGCTGTTAGATATACTGCACTACAGTCACTAAGTAAATAAATTAAACTAAGTTTAAATTTTAGTTCATACAAATACATATGTATACTACATATTATATTGTACATTTATTATGAAAATGTTTTAGATTATGTCATTATGTACAGTAATGGAAAACAAGTTCCAGAAGTATGCACTTCTATCAGTAATAGACTTTTTGATCAAAATGTTGCGGTGCGATTAGCTCTATGTCGTGTTGTATCTAATTGGATGTTAAACCTACGTGATAGATATTCATATTTTCCAAAACTCATTCCATTGATTTTGACAGCGTAAGTTTTGTATCATACATTTTTAAAAACATTGATACCTATTAAAACAGAATGTTTCCTATTAGTAAGTGTTAAATAATATTTATTTTCTAGTCAAGTTGATGATCATCTACCTAACCGTGAGGAGGCTGAACGTCTTTGGGATGAAATTGGAAATCAGTATATTAATGAGAATGAAGTACAACTCAAAGAAAAATTAGATTTCTTACCCGATCATTTAGATCACTATCCTCCTAATGGTTAGTTAGTGTATTTTACATTTAAAATTATTAATTTACTTAAATCAATCAATTAATAATTTGATTGTATAAATGTTTATATTTCAGTTAAAAGACCAAATTTGGGTTGTCGTACATTAGTTACTCGAGAAGTATTAAAGTTACTTCCAGTTATAATACGAGAACTAGATGATTGGGTAAATATTTTCTGTTTAATTACATCATAATAATTAGAGATGTGAATGGTGTAAATTTACAGGATAAATTTTTACCGGTAAAAAAATTTGCCGTACATTTTACCAATTTTTTTTTTACCGGTAAATTATTTTTAATCAAATGAAATCGAAAACGCCTTGTCTTAATTGTGAAGAGATATATTTTTTATCAAATGATAATACAATAAATGAATAAAGTACTAATCACGGTTTAAGATAAATCTAATGGATATTATCATTTATAATATTTATATACTTGTTATTGTTTATATAGTTTGTTATAGACTATAAAATCAATATTCTGCCACCCCTACTATATACTACAACATYAAATATCATTAGGTAATAAGGAAACATTTTATAGGGAGATACCAAGAATGCAGATAGTGTGATATTGATGATATACTATTATTAATACAAAAGTTAAGTCTAAATATAAATGTTTTGACTTAAAAAGAAGTAAAGGTTATGTGAATTTTTATAGATTAGTTTAATTTAAATTATTTATTAATTGTAATATGAATAATTCAATATTCATATTTCATAAGATGTACTAATTACTAATGTCTAATACAGACCAATTGATATTTTAGATTCATTTTTTAAATTTTTTGTTAATTATTGTTATTATTAGAAAGAACTAGATTTAACAAGTAGGTATACAACATTAGTACCTAATACAAATCATATTTACTAATTTCTAATAGTAAAAAATTACAATGGCTCTAAGATTTAGCTATTTTACCACATTATTGGTAAATTTACCGATATTTTTTTTAACGTAAATTCTCCATCTCTAATAATAATATTTTTTTTTTTTTTAACTTGTGTGCTGCTCAATCTTATTGTTTAATCATATAGTAAATAATTAAATTTATAATTAAATAGTATAAAAACAAAATTAACTAATTTTATAAAAAATATAGAAAGAAGATATATGTATTAAATCGGGTCAATTGTTATGTGTGGTTGCATTGAACGCTGAGAATTCTATTATCCAACATTTAAATCAATTACTCACTGCTATGACTAAATGTTGTCGTCAACCAAATCATGTTGCAGCAAATCATGTAAGAATTATATAGTAATATATAAATAAATATATGTAACTGAAAACTAATATTTAGGTTCGAAGAGGTGCTGAAATTATGAGTTATTTCATATCACCAAGTATTTATTTGAAATTTTTAATTCCTACAATGAGTGATACTGAACCACATGCAGGTCATTTGACCATTTTATCTGGGCTATTAAAAAATGTAAAATCAGTTGAATTATCTACACRTGTGAAATCTATCATTACTTTCTTGGAAAAACCAGAAATATGTGAAGTTAATGATCCTCTATTCAAAAAATATTTACTTCAAGTAATCGAGTATGTATTAGTCGCTTGTGAATCAGAATGTCAAGAATTGTCTTACGAGTTGTTTAAAATTTACATAACTGTACAAAGTACAACTTTGGATGAATTTGACAACAACTGTAAGTATTATTTTTATAAATAAAGTAAAGTGGGTACCTTGGGATTAATATAGATATTATAAATTACAACTGAATATTAAATTTAACTTATTAAAATTGTCATATACCTATATTTGATTCTTTTAATACTATTTTTTTTAAACATTTGTTTTTACTTGATTTTAAATCAATAATGTTTTTCTAAAGTAATTACATGATTTATTGTTATAATTTTTTTGAGATTTTTTTATAACAAATATACTTCTAACAAATTTATTAGTTTTTAAAATAATTTCTCAGTATATTATGATTTATTTTACCAATTTAATGTTTATTTGTTTTTAGTTATATTTAAAAAGTTAATCAATATGTGTGAACCTCAAACAAAGGAGCAACTTTTTAAAACACATGGTGAAAGATTGCTCAATGAACTTAATGATAGTTGTGATACATGGGTAGTGCATTCACCAGGAAGAGAAGTTCTTGACAAAATAGCATTAGATGCTGGTAATTAACACTAAAATTGAAAATATACATGTAATTATGCTATGAGTTTAATATTATAACTTATTTAATTTCAGAACATGTTGTTGTAAGCTGCTATGAAGTATATCGACAGATACTGACTAAAACATTATACAATCTTGATAAGGATCCAAAATTTCTTATGAAGATGTTGATAAATATAAATACATGCGTGGATAAAGATATTTTTAATGATAAGCAACTTTGGCAAATTCTTTCTGGTAAAATTTCATTATTATAAATAGAGAATAGTAGGTACATGTGTATATATATGTATGTGTATTATTTTATTATGTTCTAGGTATTGTATTTCCTATTCTAACATGGAGACCTGGTAAAACTGCTGAAAGTTTACGAGCGGCTTCCTGCCTGTGTGCACAAATTATTACTAAAAAGTTTACTTGTTTTGATGAAATAATTTTAAATCAGGTAAATATATATTTTTACTTATTATATACTATACTTTCTAATTTCATTTGTTATTAGTGTTTCCCATTATTTTTGGCCCTTGCTGATGATAACCACTGTAAGACTCGTACATATGCATTAGATACTTTACATTCTTTAGTTTCCGCTGCCAAAGATTTAGATAAAATTGATGCAGACACAATAAACAATATCACTAGAGGTATTGTTATAGATGAAAATGCATGTTAGTTAAAATCATTAATACTTTTTGTAAAAATTTAGTTGCACTAGCTCGTTTGAATGATAACCCAGGAAATACACGATTCAAAGCTATTAATCTGATCAAAGTAATATATACCCAACCTCTTCCTAATGACTATATGGTGCATTATGAAACTCATGTGGCTCAGTTATATAAAACCTTGGTAATATTTTTAGACGATCAAGATATACAGCAATCTATACTTGGTAATTATTATTTATATATTTTAATAATAATAAATATAAATTAGAGAATGGATTTCATTGAAATATTGAAACCTAAATATTTATTACTACTTTATTTATTTATTTGTTGATTAAATTTGAAAAAAGATTGTAATTTAATACTAAAAAAAAAAATAAGGATTCTAAATATAATTGCATGAAATATTAAACATCTAATTATTTAAATTAACGCAAGACTACATATTCTCTTGGATTATAAAATATTTTATATTCTCAATATTTCACATTAAATATAATATCGAGTGTCATGAAGTTTGTTACCTCAATGTTTTTGTGGGATTTATCCTTGGAGTATAAATCTAATTTTTTCAGATACCTAATCCAACAAAGTTTTCTGTCTAAAATTCTCATCATCTAGAGGTTTTCCGATTTATATTTTGCTTCAATAATGTGTACATTCTTTGCTATTTGTACATTTACCATATTATTGAACTTTTCCATCAATCTGTTATGTTACGATGATGCAAATGATATACTGCTCAGTTTCTAGACTTATATTGAAGCAGACACATTACTTATATTATTATAGGCTTTAATTACTTATCTACAGCTTTAATAAAGCAGCATATAGATATATGAAAGTCATTACGATAATGCTGATAATATTTGTAGTAGTGTATGACTTAAGTTCAATAGGTAAATAAAAATACATTTTTAAAATACACCAGAAAAAATCTAATATTAAAAAATTATGTGTTTASACCCAAGTATACTAAATATACTAGCTCCAATTTAGTAAGAAATTCAGAAAACTTATGTAATCAGTTTTCAAAATTTATACCTAAAATAAAAATATATAATTTTATTAAAATTATGCTATGCCAAAAATAGAGTAAATTAAATATTATGATTCCTAAATTATTAACTCATGGTMATTTTTTAGATTTTATTCATTTGATTCAAAATATTAAATTTAAATTCATTCAATTATTGATTAAAAAAAAAAATAAATATTTTTGTAATTAATTAAAATTATACATTATAAGATTTTTGATATTGATTGCAAAAAAAGCAGTGTAATTTTATCAAAATACTTGTTATTTTTGGTATTGTTTAATGTTTAAATTATTTTGTCTTATTTAATATTGTGATTTCTAATTTATATATATTTTGTTTTTATCTTTAGATTTATTAAAAGAGTTGTCCTGGATGAAACCTGATCTTCTTATTAAACATATTAATGTAAATGTGTTTTCACATAAACACTTAGCTCAAAATTTAATGGATTTTTTGTCTGACAATCTTAGTCAGATTACACTCACTACTAACACGGAATAGTATTGTAAATTATTTTCTATGTTTATTCTGTATTATGTTTTTATGCACTATAAATTATAATTATTGTTACCTAGTATGCATGTTTTTTTTATTATCATTATATTTGTCAAACTAACTCAACTTATTTAAAATTTTAATTTTTGTAATTTCTTACAAGTTGGCTGAAGTAATCCATATGTTCTAAAAGTACAATTAATGGTTTGATACACATAGAATTTGACATATCTTAGTATTTTATTAAAGTATTGAGCAAATGACAAGTTATGATAACAATTTGGAATATATGCTAACCATTTTTATATTCATTGATAATATTACTTCTATTTCAATTTCAAAATATAATATTTAAACAATCTCTGTAGCCTAATGTAGAATAATTTTATGTGATATGTGAATATAATGTCAGTGAGCTGTTTAAAAAAGCTTCAGTGATGTGATGCTTACTATTTGTTTCTTTGTTTTTTTTTATGATTATTTACTCAAGTCTTAGCAAATATTTGCAAAATGTTTGTTTCATATATCTGGAGAATTATTAGGAATTATGATGATTAATAATCTTATTTTGTGAGAGATATTGTGAAGGTGACCATGAAACTTCACGGAAATATTTTTATATGAAATTCAGCTTAAGCATTTTGGAATTGTCTCGAAAAATGTGTTATCAGGGCATAGGACCAAAATGGTTTTATAAAATATTTATACTTAGATAGCTAAATATTATTGAATATTTTTATAAGTGAGCAGTGTTTCAAGCATAAGTTAGTGGATCAGTGGTATTGTATGGTGAGGCCAAGCAATTTGACAACCTAGTTATTCCAAAATATTAACTGTCGTCTGTCAGGAATAATGGATCTTATTGAAAGTAGCAGCCTGATGTTGAACTTGTTTAAAGGTAAATGTAGTTTTAATTGATTTGTTTTGATTTTTCTTCAGAAATTATAATATAAAACAATTTTCATAGCAACATTTAATACAAATCAAGTTAAAAGATTCTTAATTCAACCAGATAAGCAAACTACACGAAAAATGATGCTTAGTCAACACAAATTAGTATTTTTACGAATTTTTGTGTGTAAGGATGTAATTAGGTGCCCCTTTGGTATATTACCAATGAATCACATCATAAAGACATCTGCATTCCAACCTTAAACAGCCTTGCCAAAATGGCCTACAAAAAAAAACACATAAAACATTCAGTACTCACCTAATCCTATAATCATCCAATATTCCAGGTAATTCACCCAGGYGTCCGAAAAGGAACTGGTGTAGGGACCTACTCTSTCCTTAATTCACTTTTCACGGGGTGCCGGCACTGGCCGACTTCCCCTCCTGTCAACCAATCATCATCCCATTTACTTCTTGTATAACTTATAAATATAATGTTTTGTCAAAAAAAAAAAAAAGAGGTAATTGATATTGTGTATATAAAATGTTCATTATCGATAACTCAGTTGAAGTTGCACATTAATTCAGTACCAATATTAAATACTAGGTATTAAAGATCAATTTATTTTTTTAAACCTAAACATGAGTTTAGTTACACATAGATATGGTAACAGATTTTTAGTATACCTTACCATAAGATAAGTATTCGTTAGGTAATACTTTTTTATGAGAGGGTTAGACCCCCAGAGCCTCAACACATATGTTCATGTGCTGAGTGTAAACTCTAGAAAGAATTTTGTATTCATTATGTATTCATTAAATATGAGGATTGAATATTATTGAAAATTAACCAATTTATTTAGATTTAACACTTAAGTTTTAAATATAGTTAAACTAATGTACAAAATCAAATTAAATTAACTTAAATATGGATATAAAATGTATCAAATAATAATTTTAACTTGTTTTGTTCTATATATTATTTTTGAATTGCAATACAATTTGTCTGAACTCCAGCTTTAGTGATTACATGAACTTTGAGGTCATAAGCACTTGCCTTGTTTTTGACTACCTCAATATCATCAGGGTTTTTGTTCAGCATAACTGTCAATACATCATCATTACCCGTATAAAAATCAGTTAAGTGTGTGTTGAATACTTCCCAAAATTCTGGAGCCATCCGTTCTTTGTCATCAGCATTTATGTCATCTTTAAATGTAATTAATTCAACATTTCGATGAAATTCTTTATCTTTTTCTAACTTATGAATTTCACAATGTATTGTTTCATTTTGAGGTTCAAGTTTCAATGCAAATTGAAGCTTTTTCTTCGCTTCTGTAAAATCTTTTAGTAGACGTAATGCTTTTCCCCAGTTGAAAAATAATTTTGCAGAGTGTTTGGAAAATCTTTCTGAATATTTCAACGCCTCTATCCCCATACGACATACCTTATTAAAAGCACATTGTTTTAAATAACATAAACTTAAATTTGTATAAAGCTTATTCAAATATTTCATCATTTCTATTTCTTCATTGTCATTTTTGCATCCAGCTATATGTAGTAATTCCAGTGCCCGATTATATTTAAATACAGCTTTTTCTATATTTTTAAGTTTAAATTGTTCATTAGCTTCAAGATGCAACTTTTTAACTTGTACAAGATTTTTATTAAAGATGTCAGGATCACGGTTTTCTCTATCAAAGTTTAAGATACTTTCAGGTGAAAAAAAGGAAACAAGATGGACATCAAACAGAATAGTTGCATTAGGTGGTATCCGAGGTGGGCAACCCAGTTCTCTGTATGCCAATTCTGGCTTTATTATAAACCTTGAGTTTTCACCAGTAGTCATTGTTTTTATACCGATTTCTAATCCTGGTAAGAGTTCACCATTACCCARTGTAAAACGTTTAGGTTTTCTGCCTTGAAGATATGTTACATCAAATGGTTCTTGAAGATTTGATATATAAGCAATATAATGTATCAAAACTACATAGTTATCTGGAACAACTTGACCAATTCCTGCAACACAAACAAAATAAAATTAAAATAATTTAATAAATATTTAGAAATTCTCCACATGTTTAAAATTAAAAACTTCATTATCAATGTAACAATTGTAATATAATGAAATTAGAGTCCTGTTGCAAAAACTGCTGCCTTTTCTTTAGGTAGATTACTTAGTGTTGCAGGTGAAAAAAAATTCAGTAGATTTCTAGAAAGTTTCTACTTATGTAGACAGTGGTAGTCTAAAGAGGATGCCAAAACCCATGCCTTCTCAGCATTTTACAAACGTACAACATGGCAAATTTAAGTTTATCACTACAAATTTTGTGTTAAYGGTGAATTGGCCTAAAACCATTTTATCTATATTTCAAGGCAACATAAAATTTTAAATATGGTAGAACAGTACATTTTTATACTATATAGGCTTAGTAATTTTTGTAAAACAATAATAGTAATTTAGTTCTTTAATTTAAAATTTAACATGTATATTKTTTTGTTCATTTGTAGTAAGTAACAACAATTTAAAAAATGCATTCTTACCCTGATTGAGTAATATTTTTAACACCTTGCGATCACCAGTAAGATCTTCGTGGTTTGTATTAGTAATGAGATGATTGAAAGACTCTAAATTGTCACCTTCCTCTCCTAACATATCAAAGTTAATAAACTCGGCTACCTCGGATTCATCATAAGAAAACTTTTCAGTAATGTTTTCTTCGTTGGGTTCGTTATCCACCGTAAAACAGCAACCGTCCTGTTTGTTCAAAATTTCTTCCGATGCCGTCTTGAGTATGTTAAGTACATTTTGTGGAATCTCGTCATTTTCGTCGGCCATCGTGAACGATTTGAACAGATTCCTAGTTGAGTTACGAGTTACGAGTGTTGATCAACTGACGACCGGTGTTATTGTAAACGATAAGATTTTCAAGTAGCAGCTGGAACGCCTGAAACGTTTATTTCTCAGGTATGCTCTGAAACAAAATCGAATTTAAAAAAAACAATAATTTTAGCTTTCAACACTCAATGAAACGTGGATTTTTTTGGGAATTTCTGAACATACGCACACGATACGGAATTAAATATTAGTACTTAGTAGATAACCGTAATTTAAACTAATCGTTCATAGTTCATATCAAAACGATTAAAATACTCCACAAATTTAACGATAAGTGCGCGGATAAATATAGAAATATAGATACCTGTAAACCAACAATTTGAAGTTGACAACACACCACCCGCGCGTGTTTCAGTGTTTGTCGTGTTCAATATTCTGTGTTCAAACTTCAAATGTTCAATTACATTACAGATGGACGGTGTTGTATTATTAAAAAAAAATACTAGTAATAATAATATGAAATTATAAAACGTACAAAATGCATATAGATGTCATATTCCACTGTTCCATATGTATATAAATAATATGTTATTATTGTATATAATATTTGATATATTCATTGTTAGATTAGTATTAGTTTCGTGAATATCTTTATTCTTTATAACACTTGTTGACAAAGAATAAATGTATAAATTATAAAACCACTGACGAAGATGTATTGTAATAATATAACATAATATTCAAACCATTAACCAGGGGTATTCAAAATTTGTACGTAGCGGGATGTAGATCGTAGGCTTAGTACAAATTCAGTTTTTCATTATTATTGATTAGGTATAATAAATTAATAATTTATAGCTTAAACATAAACGATTTATCCAGTTAAACAATTTTTATCACAAATTAATGTTTAATTTAATTTTTAAATTAACACATTATTTTTTTAAAGGAAGTTAATGATGTCCGTGAAATTTTAGTAACGTTTATTTTACTGATACAGTTGTTAGTCATTAATCGCCGTTGAGTTGACAATATATAGAAATTAGAGACAATATGATATACTACAGAGAAGATTAAAACTACGATTAAAGATTCTGTACTTTAAACTTTTTTTTAAATATCTATTAAAATATATCTTTAATTGTGAATATTCGTGATTATGTTGAAATAATACTCATGCTTTACATTAAATTAAGATAATTCCTATATACAGGAACTAAACCCTAATACTTTATGTGCATGACTTGCAATGACCTTATGTTTACTTAGACGATACACTATTACAATATCATGATTATGATCATTAGATATTTAGATCTAATCATCATTATGAATTATGATCTATCTAAACATCATCATGATCTAACCTCTAAGCCATAGCCAGAATATGCAGTCGTTACTCGTTACTCGTTAGTCGTTAGCCTGGCAGAATCGCAGAATAGACAATAGAATGGATGAATAATTATGATTTGAATATTTGATTATGCTTATCTACGTTCTACAATCACTGAAAACACCGAGGAGCGAAGACCACCATATATAATGTATAATGGATAGGGCCATCATATTCGCCATCCCTTATTATTATTAATTAATAATTACCAAATACTAATAATAAAAGCACCTACTAACTACTTAAAGTAATTAATATTTTATTTTAAATCTTAAATTTAAATGAAAAAGAAAAAAATGATTTATTCGTGGAATAAAAAATATATTTCGTAGCTTATCATTTGGGAATTCAAGGGAAGACAATTTAGTTTACTCACTCCCTGACATAGAGTAACTCTATTACTCTATGCTCCCTGACGGTCCATCTATATTATAAATTATATTATCTATGCCGACCACGGAACTCATAGATACAACCGTGATAACCGGGAGTGGTGATAAATAAGATTAACCTTAAAAAGTTAAAAACGTTCATATTGTGACAACATAATATAAATACAAATACTGAAACACTACATGTGTATTGTGTTGCGGACTTATGCTATTTCACTCTTTATGTGTACTTACATAAGAGTTGGAAAATAAGTTAATATTTTTATATTTATTTGTTTGAAATTGAGATTGTGACTACAAATAATGGAAGACATTTATGCAGTGTTAAACAAGAAAGCAGCGCTCGATGTAGCAGCACAACAAAGTGTTTCTGTAATTAAGGTATTAGACCCAGAAGTTGATTTAGGTACACTTCTATGTTTTGATTCAAATGACTTTGACACTCAACAACTCAGGTACTACAGCTAACAATACAATTTTAACTTATTTTATTGTTGTGGATAATTTAATATAATATATGTCTTTACTGTTCATAGATCAGATCAAGAGAAATACTTAACAAATGAAACTAGGAATAATGTACAGTTATTGATAAACAAATTATTTGAATTGCCTATGAAAAACGAAGATGGTTACATGTATGTAGATTTACCAGAACCTAGATATAATTTACCCCGTGAAAAACCATTACCGACACCTAAACCACTCACTAAATGGCAGAAATTTGCCATTGAAAAGGGAATCAAGAAAACACCAAAACCAAAAGCAACTTGGGATGAAATTCTACAGGTACTTATTAATTTTTTTAAGTACCGTAAATTGTAGTAGTTCTAAGGTCAGGTCATAAACTATATTAGTTAAACCCAAATCAACTTCTTCTACATTCACTAAATCATAATTTTTGTTTTTGGTGTGTTAGAAAGTTTTTTCATACTTTTACATTTTATAAATGTTTTTTCTTGATGCTATGAAAACATTTCATCATTAAGAAGATTTAGAACAGGGATCAGCAATAGGTGGCCCGCCACTGAAGTTAATATATTTTTAGTTCAGTGCAGTCTGCGGAGGGAAAATATCTAACTGCTAAAATATTTTTCTTTAATTCTCGTTTTCCGCACATTTTAGAAAATTGATATTTGATAATTTTTCTCATTAAACTTTTAAGTCCATCACATGCACTTATTGTAAAACAACATTTACAGATTGTGTATATTTAAATAAACGATAAAAAAAAAAAAAACTTTTAAGAATAAAATTGTGTTATTATTAGCATGAATACATAATTACCTTATAAATAATTAAATATTTAATTATTTGTCTTAAATTGTGAAAAAAAAACATTTTAATATTTTAAACATCTAAACATTTTTTTTTTTTAAATTATCTGCACCACCATAGAAATTAACTGTCGACCTTTGATTTGGAATTTTACTCTCAATATTTTGTAAGTTCTTGACAATAGTCATTTTTTTAAACTACAAATAACAAAACATATTGACTTATGATAACTTAATTTAATTAATATTTAAAAATGTATTTTATCTCCCCTAAGCATGTGCCGTATCTCTCCCATAAAATTGGTCCTGGGTATAATGTGGATCTATTATTACCAACTACTTACTATAACTTATTTATATTCCTTAACTGTTATGTTTACATTTGTTTTATTGTATTAGAAATGGATCCCAACTTATGGCTACAAAAAAGCTGCTGCAGACAAAGAAAAAGATTGGATATTGGAAGTGCCTGGCAATGCTGCTGATCCAAATATTGATTTATTTGCTGAAAAACGAGAAGCAAAGAAAGAGCGTGTTGCTAAAAATGAATATCAAAGATTACGCAATATAGCTGCTTCACGTAAGATAAAAGTTCCTGCAGTTGGATTACCACCTTTAGAAGGAACATTACATTCAAATCAGGTAAAATTGTCTTAATATTTATAATTGTATGCCATTAATACTGATCATTTTTAATAGTTGAAAACCGCTGTCGATGTAGCTAAAATATCAACTGCATCTGTTGGTAAATTCCAGCCGAAAATAAGCAAAGAARTGGTATCTATTAAAAAAAATATACCAGGATTAAAAAAAGATAAAATCCCAGCCAAAGTATGTTGACAAACATRTAATAATAATGTTTAACAAATATTTTTAAGATTTTTTTTTGCAGAGCATGAAAGACGAAAAATCAAGCAGTCTTCAAATATTAGAATCAATTAATAACAAAAAACCAAAATTCAATTTAGAAAAAGCTGCTAATAAAGCTATTCACGCAGAAGAAGTCGAGTAAATATAATTACAAACATTTTTTATTGAATCCGTCTTATTATTATGTTTTTATATTAGGAGACATAGAGAGAGAAAAGAAGGAGGTGATAAAAAAAAGGGAGGACGTTCACGCAGCAAAGGATCGTTCAAAAGACCTACTGCCAATACTGGCAAGCGTTTGGGAAAGCAAAAAGGTGGTCGTAAACGAAGATAATTTTTTTT